ATCAAGTGATTTTCCTTGTAAGGCATGTTTTCTTGGCAAAATGATCATCATGCCTTCTATAAACAAAATTGCAACTGAATCACCTGCATTTTTAGAAAGGATTCAAGGAGATATTTGTGAGCTGATAGCCCCACCATGTGGACCATTCCGATATTTTATGGTGTTGATTGATGCTTCAACATGTTGGTCACATGTTAGTTTTTTATCGACCAAAAATTAGCATTGGCTAAACTCCTTGCTCAAATTATACGATTAAAAGTTCATTTTCCGGATCATTCTATAAAGAGATTCCGACTTGATAATGCAGGAGAATTTACCTCCCAAACATTAAACGACTATTGCTCATGTCCATACGCAAAACGGTCTTGCTGAATCTTTGACTAAACAATTACAATTAATCGCTAGACCATTATTAATGAAGTGTAATTTACCTTCATCAACTTGGGGACATGCTATTTTACATGCAGCAAATTTAATTCGGCTTAGACCAACTGCATATCATGAATATTCCCCAATGCAATTAGTTACTGGACAAGAGCCAAACTTAGCACACATAAAGATATTTGGTTGTGCTGTTTATGTTCCGATTGCTCGACCTCATCGTACAAATATGGGTCCTCAAAGAAAGTTGAGAATTTATGTTGGATTTGAATCTCCCTCGATAATCAAATATCTTGAACCGATGACTGGTGTCTTATTCACCGCACGGTTCGCTGACTGTCATTTCAATGAGACAATATTCCCGACCTTAGGGGGAGAAGATAATAAATCAGACCCAAGTACGAAAGAAATAACATGGAATGCAACAAGATTATCACACCTTGATTCTAGATCAAATGTATGTGAGCAAGAGGTGCAAAAGATAATCCATTTAAAAAATGTTGCAAATCAGTTGCCTGATGCATTCACTGATACAAAGAAAGTGACAAAGTCACATATTCCTGCAATGAATGTTCCTGCCAGAATCGAAATCCCAACAGAGAATTACGAAAAATCTCTTGCAAATGATTCTTCTATACGCAAAAAACGTGGCAGGCCACTTGGATCAAAAGATATAAAACCAAGAAAAACTAAAAAGCATGAATTGATATGTGATGTCAAAGATGTTCATCCATCTGAACAAGAAAATGAACAATTTGAATATACTGGCATAGAAAATGATATTGACAAAACAAACATCTCAAATGACGATCCAACTTCCTTAAATGAGGCAGATATTCCAGATAATGATAGAAACATTGATAATTACGAAATTTCAATAAACTATGTTTCTACTGGAATGCAACGGAATCGAAAAGATATTGATATCAATGAGATATTTGTCTATGCTGTTGCCACGAATGTAATGAATGAAAACAATGACAATGAGCCAACATCAATTGAAGAATGTTGGAAACGACACGATTGGCCAAAATGGAATGAAGCTATTCAGTCTGAATTAAAATCACTTGAAAAACATGATGTTTTGGACCGATAGTCCCTACGCCATAAGGCGTAAAACCAGTGGGCTTTAAATGGGTATTTGTGCGTAAACGCAATGAGAAGAATGAAATCGTACGATATAAAGCCCGACTTATTGCCCAAGGTTTTTCTCAAATGCCGGGAATTGATTATGAAGAAACATATTCTCCAGTAGTTGATGCAACTACATTAAGGTTTCTCATTGGCATGTCTATTTTTGAAAGGCTGCAAATCCGCCTAATGGATGTAGTAACTGCATATTTATACGGTTCACTCGATACAGACATTTATATAAAAGTTCCCGATGGATTTAAAATGCCTGAAGCTTATAGCTCGAAATCTCGAGACATGTTTTCCATTAAACTACAAAAGTCATTGTATGGACTAAAACAATCTAGACGAATGTGGTATAATCATCTCTGTGAATACCTTCTCAAAGAAGGATATAAGAATGATCCAATTAGTCCATGTGTTTTCATCCGGCGATCAAATTCGGGATTCGCCATAATTGCGGTATATGTTGATGACTTAAACATTATTGGAACTCCCGGTGGAATTGAAAGTACTGCAAAATATCTTATGAAAGAATTTGAAATGAAAGATCTCGGAAGAACCAAATTTTGTCTCGGACTTCAAATTGAGCATTTGAAGAATAGAATTTTCATCCATCAATCCAATTACACCGAGAAAGTTTTGAAGCGGTTCTACATGGACAAAGCTAATCCATTGACTTCACCAATGTTGATTCGATCTCTCAACATACATGATGATCCATTCTGTCCCCGAGAAGACAATGAAGAAATACTCGGTCCCGAAGTTCCATATATAAGTGCTATTGGAGCTTTAATGTATTTAGCTAATAATACTAGACCAGATATTGCATTTTCTGTAAATTTATTAGCTAGTTACAACTCATGTCCAATAAGGCGTCATTGTAACGGGATCGAGCACATATTCCGGTATCTACGTGGTACAGTTGATCTCGGATTATTCTACCCCAAAGATGCAAAAGCCTCTTTAATCGGATATGCAGACGTTGTATACTTATCAGATCCTCAAAAGGTGAAATCACAAACCGAGTAAGTATTTACTTATGGTAACACCGCAATCTCGTGGAGATCTATGAAACAGACTTCGACAGCTACATCATCAAATCATTCGGAGTTCATTGCACTTTATGAAACCGGGAGAGAATGAATGTGGCTGCGATCTATGATTCAACACATCCAAAATGAATGCGGTATGGAACCTCTTACTTGTCAGCCTACTGTGATCTATGAAGACAACATTGCGTGCATAGCTCAGATTAAAGAATGCTACATCAAAGGTGACAGAACAAAACATATATCACCAAAATTTTTCTCTACTCATGACCTGAAGAAAGAAGGGACGATCAACATTCAACAAACCAGATCATTGCCCCCAAATCATTGCCCCCAGAGAAATTTGATAACCGCTTTCGCGGCGTTGTAGTAAAACGAAGTCTAACCTTTCGGTTTTTCCCCGAGTATCGTGTCTCTTGAGGAATGACGGAGAATTTTCTTAATTTAATTTTAGTCACAGGCTATCGCTAATCGTTGGAAGCTTTTTCAATATAGGAGAGTGATTGTGTTCTAAATTATGCCAATTTATAACTAGGAGCAAGGTTCAATTTAAAGATTAATGTTTACAAATTAAATGTTCTAAAGATTGATGCAAATAAGGGCAATGAATTGAGTAATTAGAAATGCATATATTCTTGGACCTAGTAATAAGGGAAATTAAAACTACAATTGGACTAATAATTTCTTTATCATAGACAAAGATAGAAACTATTTTCATTAATTTATCCTATTTCTAGGTGTCATTAATGTGTTTAAAATGGTTGGCTTAAATTAAATTCTAATCCCATAGACAAGGTAGAAATAATTTTCCAATATTTCAATTAATAAAAATAGCCAAATTCATTAACTAGTTAAACTCTTTATTTAAGCAATTGAATCTATTTCTCATAGACAAGATGTAAATCCCTTTCATTAAATTATCCTATTTCTAGGCCTTATTAATGTGCTCGAATATGGTTGGCTTAAATTATTTTATAATCTCATAGACAAGGTAGAAATAATTCTCCAAGAATTTAATTAATGAAAATGGCTAACAATTATTAATTACTATTTCATCATGTTAAACAACTAGTCCAATTTATTAATTTTAATCCCTAATTTTCGGTCAACAAGTCAATCCATATTCTTTTACTCAATGCATGCCCAAAACAAATTTAGCTACTAAACATCATTTTTACAATTAACAATATAATGAATATATTCAACATTAACAAGGAATTAAACATGTATAATAGCAAAATATTAAACAAAAATTATATTCTGGCAAAATAATCTTGTAGGAACTAAAATATAACTTTCTGGATTTTTTCACGAATTTATGAACCTAAAATCCAATTTTAACAACTAATTGACAATTTTCCCAACATTAACTATAAAATGCAAAAAGCAACTAAAAATATTTTAATTTCGTGCTAATTTTTTTATTAACTACTTGTGGTTATACTACAGTAAACTAAACTGGAATTAGGGCCGAAACTAATTTGTTTCCTTTTTTGAGTATTTATTGTAATTTATGCAATAATATCAAATAATTACGGAAATTAATTAAAAACTTTGTCTGCTTCGTGAAAATTAACTTTAATCAGATAATTAACTACCTTGAGGCTAGTGAACAACTATATAATTAATTGGAATGAATTCAACATCAATAACTATTTTATTTAATTTTTGGAAGTAAATGTGAAACACTTGAAAAATAATATGGAAATTTTCGAAGAACAGATCGAACAAACAAAGCACATATTCAGATTCTACTAGTTGAGAAGATGAAAATACATATAAATAACTTACAATTTGAAGCTAAAATGAAGAAGATATGGAGGTTTGACACTTTCTCTCTCTAATTGCTTTTGGAGCTCGGAAATAGCAGAAGAAAGAGCCTTTTTAGAACTGATTTAGGGTTAGAGATGGTGTGTTTGATATGGGAAAAAAGCCTGGTATTTATAACCCAAATTTTCCCAAAGGCGGCCGAACAGGCGGCCGCCCTTCACTGCTCACCGGCCGCCCTCCGTCTTGTCGCCGGCAGCTCAAATCGTTCCGTCTTCGTCAGCCGCAGGCGGTCCAGTAGGTGGCCGCCTGCCGTTCCTGTCTGGCCGTCTGCCGTCGAATCGCATCGGCCGGTGGTTGCTCGTGTCGCCTTGTGCCGCAGGCGGTCACCGAAGGCGGCCGCCCTCCGTCTGGTGTCGGCAGCCTTCCGCCATTTGCTGGTTCAGGTCAAAGTCAACGTTTGCCTTCCGATTTTTCCGTAGGCGGCCAACCAGGCGCCCAGAATGGCCACCTACTTGGGCGCCTTCTGCTAAATTCGTCTGGAAAATGCTACATTTTCGCTCTTCAAGATTGTCTTCTGGATCACTCTGATATGATGTTTGCTTCTTCCAGTATAAATTCATTTGTTACTCAAATTGACTCATTTTGTGCTCAATTAACCCGAAATTCCAGCAAATATATTATGAATGTGATTTTCTCCTGATTTCATGAAACTTTAACAAAAATATCTAAAACATGCTTTTTCTTTCTATTTTCAATAAAAAATCGCTTTGATAAGAAAAATAAGTAAAAAAAAGAACTTATCCCCATTCCCAATCTTCTCCATAAGAGCAATCAGGTCAATATCAGTGTTCATATATTAGAGATCTAAGCCGCGATGTTGGGCATTTTACGGCGCAAAGCTGCTTCCGGCGCGTCATCTGCTTCGGTTCGTAGTATATAGGAATGTATATATATGTGCTCATGTGTTGAACGCGCGATTAGTTCCTTGCTTTTTTATTTTCGTTAGTTTGAATTTTCTGGAGCAGAGTTTAGGGAAATCCTTGCGTGCAATTCAACCTGGATTATTGAGTCCCAAAGCATGCTCCTCTGTTGCTGACGAGGTAAGACTATTTATTTGAATTGCTCTTTTTTCGGTTGATGATTGGTTAAGTTCTAACAAAATATTTATCGGTTATTTTAATTGAGTCATTCAATCGTTTATTGGTATACTAGTTTGCAATTATTTGGATTTAGTACGCTGCACCCTTATACTCCGTAAGTTTTAGTTTGATTTAAATGGCATGTGAACTCATACTTGCTTTTGTATATTCTTGATACGTAGTATATCATATTGAACATCCGCTAGGAAGTCGATACTTTTTAGTGTCTGAATGAATAAAGTTTTATATTTTATAACTAAAACTTTGTTCGACACTCTGAGGTTAAAAGCTCATAGTATCAAGCTCAAAAGCAGAAGCTATTACGTAGTATTTTAAAAGGGGTGTGTAAAGTTATGCATTTAAAAGCTTCCAAGTATCAAAGGGAAGAAATAGGATTGAAGTTTTAACTATAAATGGATAACTGTGCCAACTTTGGTCTGTGGATGTTTCTATATCACTCCGTAATAGGGTGTTGGATATTTCTAACTTACATGATATTTCAAAGCTGAACTTTATAGTTACAGAAGTGTGTTTCTATGGAAAGATAATTGTTACATTTAACATTTTCTTAATGTTGTGCCTGGTGCCATCAAGAATTCATCCGAGTAGAATATTTTTCAGAAGCAATCACATCTGTGAACTATGGAATCAATGGAACACTTCTACATCTTATCAAAACTGAACATTATCTATGACATTTCATTCCAGTATGTTTTCAAATGTTATTAATGGGTGGATTCTTATTGGTTGGAGTCTTGGAGCTATTGCTGTTGCTAAGTTTTTGTAATATAGTAATATTTATGCAAAAATTTGAACAGATCTTGATTCACCCAAGCAATTTCCAGTGACTAGGCCCAGATCTTTCCTCAAAGTTTATGCAAAAAAGCATGCTCTCATATTAATTGATGAACCTAGAAATGTCCTCAAAAGTCTATTATTAGTTGATGGCTAAATCTTAAGTCTCCACCATGATGGTGGACTACATCTCAAATTAACTCTTCCATGGAAATATATCAGAACTTTGTTCATTTTAAGGTTAGATGAAAAATTAGGCAAGACTTCATGAGTTATGTGACAGAGGAAATAGCATTTTGCCGTAACGAAAATGCTTATTTTCATTTAGTTTTAAAGTTAGATCTAAAGGTATGTTATTTGTTGTGGAATTGAGAAGGCCTGGCCTTAAACGGGGTGATAACAGTGTGTTGTAGGTTAAAGGCCCACTTGCTTTCGCTCAATTGCATTAGCAATTAAGCATCACATAAATGTATTTTTTCCTTTTTTCTTTGACTAACTTGTGTACATCACATGAATGATTTATTTAAATGTTTTGAACTGAATGTATATTTCACATCAAATGTGCAGTTCACTGCAAAGATCAATACATCACGGGCATTTTCTTTTACTGGTTCTAGATGGGCAGGCGTAGCTAGCCAATTCAGGTATCTTCAATTAACTCCTTATGATCACTTTTTATTTTCACAAAAACAATTTTTCTGTCATCCACAGTTTGTTTTCATTTTTAATGCAGCTCAAACTCCGCTACAAATGATAGTAGTGGTATTTACTGTGGAAATGTGGACGCAGATATTGATTACAAGGTAGATTCTTTTTCCTTATGTTCTTTACTGCCCCTTGTGACATCTATTATCCGCACCATAATATGATCAACTTGTGAAATGTTCTTAGGTAAACCCATCTGTGGTTGCATCTTACCGGAAAGGATTATTTGTTGGTTTGCCAACCAAGCATATCGAGTTTCACCGGGTAATGGTAGTGATGCGTTTGAGTGAAAAATAACATGACATGTTCTCCTGATGACTCTTTGCTTCAGTTGCTGTTGATATGGGAAGTCACTCTGTATGTAACATTTTTGCATAATTAAATTTCAGGCTTTCTCTACAATTGCAGATAGACCTGCAAACATAAGTGATGATGGGAAAAAGGTCCTTCGTCCATTATCACCTCATCTTGCTGTTTATAAGCCTCAGACAAGTTCGACATCATCTATTCTACATAGAATATCTGGAGCTTACTTAGCTGCTGTCATTTTCGGCTTTCATGTTATTTTTCTGAAAGTCGGCTCAGTTTGCCTCAGCTACAACAATTTCTACCAATTATTGTTTTATTCATCAACTCTCAGCCAACTTGCTCTTGCAATAGCTCCCGTAGCAATATCCTATCACGTGGTCAATGGGGTTCGTCATTTAGTGGCGGATTTTTCAGGATATCTCTTTCCAAAAATTGGAAGAAAAAAGCTGAAAGGGCTGTAGAGTGGGATGACTCAAGTATTTACCTTGTTCCCGATAAAACTTTGTGTTTTGCTATAATATTTTCTCATTTTCTGCAATCTCGTGCATTTCTAGATCCCAGAAGCTCTGTGATTCTTGGTATGCCTTGGATTGGATCTGATCTTACATCAACTGATGATGATATTTGCAGTTGAAATAGAAACAAACAAGTGGTTTATGAATAAATATTGTGAATTATATTGTATTTGCATTCAGCATCCCCTCATAACCATTCCTTGTTAAAATTCAAATATGAATAAAACTGAAATGAATATCAAATGCACACCTAGTATTTATTTGGCAGTAATAGTTGGCTGATCCAAAGATTCAATTCAAATAGAGCGAAGTAGAGGGATCGGGTGGTTAAGTGCAATTTAATAAGACAACCGTTGCATCTTAATCTTTTTATAGAGGGCTTATCTCGGGTCTCTTAAAATAAACTTCAAATTTGACCAATTGTTGAGGTTTGCATGTTGAGCTAACTTGTTTAAAATTCAACAGGGATAAAAGATATAGGGAGTGTTTGCAATTGCTTCAACTTTAAAAAAGTGATTTTTTAAAGTGATTTTGGGAAAAGTGATTAATAATAAAAGTTGGTAGTGTTTGAGAAAAAAGTGATTCTAAAAAAGTAAAAGTTGGTAGTGTTTGGTAAAATAAGTGTTTTTTGTGTAATAGAAAAAGTGAAAAGCAGTTTAAAGCACCCTTCTACCTGCTTCCAGTTTTTAGCTTTTAAGTGATTAATTTAAGCAGAAGTTGTCATTTGAAAACACTCTTTTCAACTTTTTTTAAGTGAAAACACTTTTTGAAAACACTTTTTTTTTTATGTGGCTGTTTGTTTTTCAGCGTTTCTGAGCCAACACGCTGTTTTTAGCAGTGTTTGTAGTTAAAAAAAATAGCGGTTTGCTCAAAACGTTATTAAATAAATGGGGCCATAAAAATATTTGTCAGTTGAACTTTTTGCGTTTTTGGTAACTGTTTTTTAATGGCCAAAAAGTTCGTAAATAAAAAAATGTAGGCGTTTGATGAACATATTCTTTTATATAGCCCTGTTTGGCAAAACAAAGTGTTGCAACAAACTTATTTCTTGTCCATGTTGGTAGTGTGCGATACTGAAGAATGTAAATAATCCGTGGTTGCGATAATTTAAAAGACAGAAAGATAGCGAATCATATATTGTTTTTATTAATGAGAAATGAGAGAAAATGATAAAATTAAAATGCAAACAATATAGGGTCTCAAAGGGTGTTGCGAATCTTACTTCTACAATATTACAATCTATTTTATATTTTAATATATTTTAAGTTGTCTGTGACATATAACTTATCTGTGAAGGACAGACATATGTACACAAGTACCTTAAGCATTTTTCATACCAAGGATAGATAAATTCTTTTTAAACAGACTCTAGGCAAGTACTTAAAAATAGTAAGGTGAAAATACAAAAAAAAATCACGCAAAGTGATTAAATACATGGGAAAAGAATCTGAACCAAGCATATTGACTTTTAACCACTTATGCACTAGATTTGTCAATTGTCAACATTCCTCAACAAGATTACTTTAACTGATCAATAATATATCATCACGTAAACAATCACCAATCTAGTTATTCAAAATCTACCATCTTAACTCCGCAGCCGTTGACTAAAAATTATGCAACACTCCTAATTTCTACAAAAGTAATTAGAACAAATAATTAAGAAAAAAGAACATCAATACGAGCTAATAGAAAAAGAATTACTACAATACGAGCTAATAGAAAAAGAATTACTAACTCGATCCTTTAAAACTTTGTCAAAGTTGACCGACACAGAGAATAATAAAGTAAAAATTGTGTGGTTAGGGTTTGTGCTGAGGAGAGAAAAATAATAGAAACCACAAAGTATTGATTAAAAGGCAAAGTGGCAAAATTTTTAGGGACATCCCAAATAGGAAAGATGACAAAATTTTAAGGGACGAAGATGAGTATGAAACAAAACAATAATGTTTAGTGTGCATACATGATACATATTGCATCCCTTGGCGCATAAACATGGATAAAAAAATGTATGTTTGAGAAAAGTTCAATACGAATGTCAATTGATGTGTGTGCAAGAACCATTAATGACACATTGATTTTAGGGTGGACTCGGTGCGACGGTCCCGGTCAAACTGTAACCGGATCAGGTACTGTTTGAGACTGTCTCTAGACTAGTTTTCCGATTTCGGTCTAGGACCGGCCCCTCCAGCCTCGGGCTTCATTACCCGGTCTCGGGGCAGAATTTTTGGGGATGTCCTGGTCCACTCCTGGCCCGATCACCAAGGGCTTGACACTGATTTTTTTTACCGAGACTCGGCCCAGAACTGGACCGTCCGACCTACCCGACCCGGTCTGGGACAGCTATTTAGTTCACCGGTCCTGAGCCTCCTTTTTCTTTAGCAAGACCGGCCACGGCGGCCATTCTTGGCCGGAATTGGGACCGGACCGGGTCCACGCGCCTAGTTGATTTCCATAAGCACATATATAAACATGTCATCCAGGTACACACGTCAACGCATTGGATCGCACTTAAGAGTTGGTATATGTGATGAATTTAAAGTATAAAACTTCCCCAATTAGGAGTGAATGAGTCATATTTTAGGGAAAACAATGGTGGCTATATTTGTGCACTTTGTCTATGTTTTAATCTATTTAAGGAATTTTGTCTATTATTTTCTTGTACTTTTTTTAGTCCCGAGTACCTTTTTAATCCTAGTTTTTTTTGTTTAAATGGTGGGCTGCCCCTAGTGAGGAGTAGCAGGCAGTCTTTAGTTTGTAATAGCATAGCTATTGGGCAAGTTTAATCTTGTCGGAGTACCCGTGCTTGTTCTATCCACATTACTTCCACAATATTGTCATTGATTTTCAGTTTTAAATCCCTCTTGAATCTTTATGTCTATAGAAGGGTTTACTTTTTCTGAAGGACACAGTAATATGTGCAGAATGTCTATGTCATAGGATTTTATATGTCAAATTGATTTAAGAACTTCAAACACCAGCATGGACGTTCATTAACAACCATGCTGGTTTTAGCCGCTGCCCATAATGATAACTTAGGATCTAATTTATGGATCTCCCAATAACTCTTTATAAGTGGATAAATGATGTTTTGCGAGTGATATTGTTTGTCCTTTTGGTTTGGGAACAGATGCAGTTTGAACTTCAAAGATATTATTTGTATTCTAGTACTTTCCCCGCCAGGCCGCCACAGACCTTCTGGGAATTTTCCTTATTGCCTTCCGAGTTAATGTTCAATCCTGGATAGTAAGAAAAGATTTGTCCTAGTTGCCAGACAATGAGATAGGGTCGCACTCAAACATATCTCTTTCATTCCCTACACTTGTGACCACCTCTTGATGTTTCGCTTTGATTTGGTGTTCGGTTTACCAAAGTGAAAAGTATTAGGTTTAATTTAGTTCGATTTGATTCATTTTCTTATGTTTATTATAATTTTATTTGATCAAGTTCTTATATTTTAGAATTAGAAAATGAAAGTAATAGTATATATCATCTTCTTTTATTGATTATTTAAATAAAATATAAAAGGAAATAAACGATAGAAAAAGAAATAATAAAATAAATAAAATAATTAGAAAAAGATTCAGTTCTTACAAAAAAAATAAGAATATAGTTGATTAGCATTTATAATACGGAGTATCACATAAAATATTCAAAAAAAAACTAAAGGAGTCGGTGGTACAAATGTTGTAGTATTCACAAATTTATTCAAACAAATCATGTAAAAAAAATATAAATGCAATCTACTATTGTTATAGCCAAACTTCACAAATACAAATATGTTGTATTAGCTAACTTTGTGATATTGAATGTATGAGATGTGTAAAAGTCAAAATGATATATGTTAAATATGTATTTTTCATATCTAAATTATTTATTTATATCTTAAAAATGAAGAGTGAAGATAAATACAAAGTATATTATATACGTAGTGTATATATATATATATATATATATATATATGTTGGATCAAATAAAAAAAGTCTTAACGTGTAAAATGAGAAGTAATCTCAGCCGTCCAAAGTGTCGATCTGATGCACAATAACCCCTATCTGATGCACTTTTGAATAGACCTTATTTGATGCACGAAATAAGGTCTATTCGAAAGTGCATCAGATATGGGTTATTGTGCATCAGATCGACACTTTGGACGGCTGAGATTACTTCTCATTTTACACGTTAAGATGTCTTCTCATTTGAACTCATCACTGTGCGCGCGCGCGTGAGTGCGTGCGCGTGTGCGTACGTACGTACGTACGTATGTAGGTATAAGTTGTTCGGTGTTCGGTTTATGGTTTTTCGGTTTTAAACCAAAACAAACCATTCGGTTTGAGCAAATTCATACCAAACGGTTTACTTAAGTGAACCCAAACCAAACCACCAATTTTCGGTTCGGTTCGGTTAAACCAAACCATTTTGCCCACTCCTATTTACAAGCATACACATTGAACTGCACGAGTCATTGCCATAGAAAATTGCATGTATCAACATTAAGCGATGGTATTAGCCCTAATGTTTGAATCTCACATAAAAAACTTAAGAAGAGAATGGTGTTTTGATAAGGTCAGTGGTTAATCCGGAATTTTAGATGGTGCCACAAGTTATAAAGAGAATGGTGGTCTAATTAGACATTGCGTTGAACTGGCTAACAAATTGAATCCACTCTTTTAGTGTGGCTAAGCCCAGTGCTTTTATGGCCAAGTTGAGCAACCCAACTCAATCCCAAATCTCACTTCAGTAACCTATTATCAAGTTGCATAATATACTAATGCTTGTGTATTCTGGATATCTACAGCAGCAGGGGAACTTCTAAACTGCCTTGCGGCTCTTGGGGCACTTCTGGAACTGCCACCTGCTCTTCTTGGTCTAACAGTGCTTGTGTGGGGAAATTCAGTGGGCGATGTTGTGGCAGCTTTCAATTACTTGTGGCGACCATTATGCATTTAATTTGACCCTTTTCACTGTTCTTTACAGGCAATAGGCATTGCAGGTATGGGAACTTCCAGTCTCGGTGCTCCTAAAACTCACAATCCCTGAGACTTCTCCCACAGGGTGGAGCAGATTTTATCAGTCTGCAAGCATAATTTTTTTCCCTTGGCCATTCTGTTCTCCTGCAGATCATTTATGCTGTTAAGTCACCCAATTGTATTTCTTATCCCCAACACACTTTCCTCTTTGGTTTATACTTCATAGTACTCTGCGGAAGCTCCTCTTTAGCACATCTCCATTACGCTGTTGAAAAAGAACCTCCAAAGTCTGAGCAACTGCCAGCCGTGCTTGCTGCATTCATAATGAGTGTATTCTGGATATCGACAGCAGCAGGGGAACTTCTAAACTGCCTTGCGGCTCTTGGGGCACTTCTGGAACTGCCACCTGCTTTTCTTGGTCTAACAGTGCTTGCGTGGGGAAATTCAGTGGGCGATCTTGTGGCAGATGTTGCTGTTGCTAAGGCTGGCCAGCCCGCAATGGCCATGGCAGGGTGCTTTGCAGGGCCCATGTTTAACATGCTTTTCGGGCTGAGGACAGCTCTGGTTATACAAACAGGGAATGTTTATCCGGATGCGTATGAGCTGCGTTTGCATGTGAGCATAGTTGTGGCCTTTGTTTTCTTGATCTTGAGTTTGATGGGATCCTTGCTTGTAGTAACTTGGAATAGGTTCCAAGTTCCCAGGTTCTGGGGGTTTTGGCTCATCGGACTTTACACACTATTCATGTTAGTAAGCTTGGTCATTGCAAAGTTTTCTGCATAATTTTTTTGGCAGATTTCCAGGCAAGTTTCTGCAGTGCTTGTATCACTACATTCTTTTACTGCATTGTCTTTCGTTTTCTTTCTTTGCAATATTTTTTCTCTTAATCAAATAGCAGTTTATGGCAAAAAGAAGAAAACTTAATAATTAAACCGTAATTTTGAGATACAAGACCAAACTGTCCTGAACCAAACCCCATTGTCACTTTGGTTTCGTTCTGTTTTGTAAGAAAAAATTTCAATCACCTGAACTTACTTTGGTAGTAATATTATATGCTGTACGGTTTTGTTCTTATTTTCATAAAACATCAACGCCACTAATCCTATGACTTTTTCTTTTACTAATTTCATGTGAAGCTTAAGGTTTTGTTCTTATTTTTAGCAATTAATATTTTTTTAATTCATGTGGCGACTAGGGATGTTTTTACTTGGATGGAAATTTGTTGGTCTATTCTAGTATGTTTAAGTCTGATTTGATCTGGTTTAGTAAATGGCTTATCTCTGTATTTAATATCTATGGAAGTCTGGTTTGGTTTGACCTGGTCCGTTTAAGTGTGATCTTGTCCGATCTGGTCTGTTTAAAGTCTAATCTGGTCTAGTCTGGGAAATAAAGAGTTAAAGCATCCTAGCTTTTTGAATGAGGCTATTTCAAGCATATGTTACTTTTTGAGTGAGGAACATACGAATCTCTCTCTCATGATGTCAAAGATTATGTCTTTCTTTGGTTGCTCTTTTTCTAATACCTAAATATTCGTGAACTGTAATGCCTTCCTACGTTCCACGCTTCCACCGTCAGGACACCTAGGTCCCAGTTGAAAATAAGCTCATAGACTAATATACGTAGAATACGTATATTGGTGACTTTAGAGGGTTTGATCAAGTAGATTCGGAGTATTTCTTTTCTTTTTCTGATATAACACTAATAAATGCAATATAGATAAATTAGTGATATGATTGCCAATGAAGTTCTGTTGTTGCACATCCTTTAACCTTTCGTTCCAACCTAGTGGCTTGGAAACTGTCCTCATTCCATCAAGTGATGGGGCTAAAAATTACATTAGAAATGAGCAATGGGAAAAACACCAGACTCATCTGTATGTCTCTGGCAAGAAGAAGCCAGGAATAACAAGTTTGTCAGCGAGCATTCTGCCTGTCTTTGGCATAACATGCCAATGCAATGTAAGGTTGAAACTTTTACCACGGAGATTGCTTCCCTAAACATGATTAAAATCATTCATGAAAACTGTTATAAGCAGCAAAAGACAAATATGCAATACAACCAAACAGATTTGGTGCCTAACCTGATCGATGAATCTGTACTTATTTTTGGTGTGGATCCAAAATTTTGCATGCTCTTTAGCAGGTATAATACCGTCCCACAATGAAACCTTTTACAAGAGCGTTTAGGTCAGATGGAGGGAACAATTCAAATCAATCCATGACTGGGCACGTTAAAACATAATTTTCAAAATATTAGGATCACACCAATGTCAAGATATTAATTTATATCATACCAATAAAAAAAATACAGAGTATTGATTTTGCATAATATGTTCAGTAACATAGTTAAAATAAAACAGTAATTGTTCACAACATTGTGAGGCTTTAATATAATGATTACTATTCTTACTTTTAAATATTGGAATGCAAAAGAAAAATTACTCTATAGATTATAAGTTATGAACATCAAACTAATACGAAATAAATGGATTTAAAGACTAAAGGATACATTCCTAGGTTATAATTACGCTTGGTTGTTATTCCCTTTAACATGAGTTGAATTGTGCACAAGGACACCTATCTCTATCTGACTACTCTACCAGATAATGAGATGAAGATATTCTTGGGGAAAATATAAGGACTTTGTAACTAGGGAGATAATTTTCTTAGCAAAGCTTATATCAAAGTTGAAGTCAGCTACCTCATCAGACAATGTAATCAAATAAGCATATACCAATAATAATCTCTAATCAGAATCCATCTACTAAAGCGTTGCAAATCTTACATGCCTAAAGTTTAAAGGAACACGAAAGAGAGTAATTTTGATATCATTATCTTCAAGTGTATTTTAAGTGCATAACTTATCACATAAAGCATATTAGATGTAAGATGGGAAATAAGTTGAATAGCCAACAGCATATCTAACAGAATTGGAATTGCCTGATTCATAGTTGAAAATAGTGAAAAAAAAACCTGATTCAAGGCATTCTTTGGAGTTTCATATTCAGCTGCCAAAAATACAAAAACCTGCAAAGGTTTAAAGAGACTACACACTTAATACTCAAAGTAGAACTCACCATAGAACAAATGACAATAAAACTATTGTTCAAGTACTAATTTGTTCGAGTTTATCATTGATTAAGAATCACAAATATGTGTGTGTGCAATATAATTAAAATTCCACAACCCACAAGAAATGTGCACTGCATAACATTCATACTATTATAGTGTCTGTAAAAAATATATAGCCTATCAATTTACATTCTCATAAACATCAACGGTCAAACATAATTAACAGAGACTACTGTTTTTATAAACCCAAGCACGTACATAAATGAATCATGCTACTAGAAGTTTGATGATAATAATGGTAAACAACATATTAAAATGTCATCCTAGATGCAGAGAGATCCTACATGCAGAGAGATCCCAAGAGAGATAATCAAAAGAACATAACAATAAAGGTAAAGTAAGTATGAGAGAAGCCATAGCACTACAACAAAGAGGTGTATAATTTGAGCAAACCTGTTTCGTATTCCAGGTAAACAGTGACTGCAAATCTGCCGATACATTCAGTGTCAAACTGATCTGCATTGAACCAAGCATAGCCACCCATATTAGGGCAAGTTGGTCAGAACAATCAAAACATGCCAAGGTCAGAAAATAACATTTATGCGATACTTCTAGATTGCATTAACAGGCACCATGAGAGTACTACAGGAAATATATTCTGACGAAGAAATCACAGTGGTAGTTTGTTATGCATGAAGTTCAATAACACTGATTTCCACTACTGAGCTAATTTTTCTAGTTGAACACTTCAAAATGCACAACTAAAATTCAAACAAATTTATTAGGATGATCAGTTGTGAGGTGCATAAAATAAGTTGAAAACTAGTCTGGAGTTTTTCTAAAGGCAGTTCACAAGTTTGAAGAAAATATAGAAAAAAAGATACAGAGAGTGTGCTGAAAATCATTGTGTATGTGCAGAGTATCTCTTTGTAACATGGTGTATACTTTTAGATTTTGTAGAAGTTGACAAAAATGAGGTTCACACCAAGGGACGGAACAGGGATTCAAACTTGAGGAGGCCATAACTAAAGTAAAATGTATCTTGCTTATCAATATAATTTCTTATATAGTGTATACTGTATACATATAAAACATACGGAGTAAAAAATACATAGCATGCAAAATAACAAATTAGAATATGAAAGTATATAAAAAATATTTTATAAGACTAAGGTCAATATGTTAACATTTTGCACCATGTTTCTTTAAAAAGATAAAACTTGTCATTCACAGTTTTTAGTATAAAAAAAGTAGACCAAATTAGAGTCAAATGCACACCTTCAAATTGTATGTTCAAATGGATTCAGTCACCATTACACATGTAAATGCTTGTAGTATTGGTTGCTCGCATTGTGAGAATGTGAGTACACGCAAAGTTCAGATTCGTTAGTTTCTGTTCCTCCATATGTATCCAGTACCATTCAAGAAGTCAAGATTTCAAGTGTCAAACAAAGAACCACAATAAGTTGTGGGGTAAAAACCCTAGTTTTATTGTTTATGTGATTCATGTCCATGAACACATACTTAAGGACTACCAACCCAAGTCCCACAGTAGATTAAAAGGAATAATTCAAAGGGATGGTGAACACCGTGAACATTATTTGAGAAGGACGAAAAACTACCTCGTCATCGCCGTCGGGTTTTTTCTGGAACCAGTTGATGTTCAATACCTAGATTTTAAAGAATATAACCAACAGATCAACAATCTAGGGTTTCCGAAAACCAAGTTCAAATATCACTGTATATGTCAATACATATATAGATCTGTATAAGTTTATGAGCACAAGACAAGCACCTGGACTTGGGCTATGGGAGTGGGAGAGTTGAAATTGTCCGAGAAAGAGACAATGGCGCACATTAGCGCCAGGATGGTGACGGCGAAGGTTAGCAACGCATTGGCTCTGAACCCGGCAGAATGCATTTTGTGCTTCTGCCCTCACAACTGTAGAAAACGGAAGAATCAAAAAGTGGGTTTCCCTTGGATGCACTGTATAGATTTTGAGACTTTGATGAGAGTCAGATACTGACTCACGCTCAGGGGTTGCAAGTTTTAACCGAGTCAACTCAGACCAAATAACACACTCTTATACATTTCACTTCATTTCATTTCAAGGTATTTCATATAGCATAGTAATGAGAATAAAGTCGATCAAATAAAATGTAGTTCTCCCAAAATAAATCTTGACCTTTAATTATTTTAAATAGATAAAAAATGTAGATTTCCCAAGCGATGCAGTATCAATACAAACGAGATTATCATATGTGTTTAATGTTGTGCACTTTTTATTTGTATTCTAATGCACTTTATGTTTTACGTGTACACTTTTTGTATTTCTAATGCACACTAGTATAAAAAAACACTAGTTGCATAATTTTCATTTGAAGTTTTTCATATTTCTATAATGTCACCACCTTTTTAACTTAAAATTTGATCTCTTCCATACGGAGTGCTCCGTATACTTTAGTCAAATGAATCAAATTGAATATAATTTAGTATAGCACATTACCTAAGTTTGAACCTAAGAATCACAAAGCAAATTGAATATAAATTATGCTCACAAATAACACATTTGCACACCTAAATTGAATATAAAAAATACAGTAAATGGATGAGAGACGAGATTCGAGAGTGATAGGTCAAGAACCAAATTGGGTCTACAAAAAATTGAGACAGAATGACATACACTATATAAGGAGAACGAAATTGGGTCTAGAAAAAATTGAGAGATACTTTATAATTAAAGGACCAAATAGGTATTAACCCTATCTAATTCCATGAAATTGGAAATCTGGAATTCATACCAAACAGGCAGTTACAACAACTTCAGGGAGTTCAGGGGGGGCTTAGCCTGTTCAGTACTTCAAACAAAACCAAATCCCCCAACTCTAAGAAGACAGGAACTGAATATCAAGATTCAAGAAGCTAAAGCCTAAAATGGAACTGAAAATTTGAAATTACAGAAAAGAACTTAAAAAGGGGAAAGGTAGAAACCTGGACGAAGGAAGTGGAACGAATGGGGGCCGATTAGCGCCTGCGTGGTTGCTGTGCCGCTGTTGACTGGTATGTGGGTCGCGGAGATGCATTTCGGGTTTTGATTTTTGGGACTATTTTTGGGCTTGGACCTTTGGACGGCTGGCCGCTCGTCTCTTTGGGAGATAGATTACGGACGAGATTGTTAAGGTGGGCCTGATTTTTATTGAGTAGGCCTGATTTATATATGTTGGGATATTATGACTCGGCCCAAGAGTCGGCCCAAGATATCCCTAAGCGGCCCATGCTTAAGGAAGTCCAAAGATAACATGGCATGAACGGGAACAGACATACGAAAAGTACCGAACGGCAAGTGCTGAACGGCCCAAAAGGCAACTTTGAGGATCAACCCTAGGAAATTGGCGGGAAACCTCACAAGTTGATAAGAGGTGCATTTAATGCTAAAGGTATGGGAGGTCAAGTGGGAAAAAGATCATCCATTCAAAGTCGGCCACGTCACCCACATCACCTACTCACTCATTCTATAAACACCAACATTTAATTCATTATAAGGGATTATCATTTTGATACTCACTAGCAATATATCAATCTCTAGCTCTTTTATTAGCAACTGGTCTAGAACTCCTGTTCGGCCATTTCTTTGTAATCAGTATTTGCATCCTAATACAATTGAGCAATTTGACCACTTTGTGTGTGGACTTTCACTCCCACTTCATCTCTTTCACAAGCATACTAACGATAACCAAAGGGGTGTGTTGGACCTTTGGACCTAAGGGAATTAATCCAAAAAAAAATGTGTTTTATAAGTATTTGGTGCAGTTGTACTGAAACCACCACAACAGTTGTGGTTGTTACTTAACCACCGCAAGAAGTATTTGCTTTGGTTTAACTTTTTAAGCAAAAAGTTAAACCCACATATTACTGCTCCTTGAATTCTTGTTGTTTAGAACCACAACAAATAGGTGAAAATAACCACAACAAATAGATAGATGTTTTTCTGGTAGTGAGAACACTGTGCTCCCCATGTACATACACAAAATGGTCTTGCAAAAACTATTATCAAAAGATTACAAATGTTAGCTAGAACATTGGTTATGCACACCAACTTACCAATATCTGCATGGGGGTATGCGATATTACATGCAACATTACGTATTCGCTTTAGACCCACCGCGAACAAACCTTTTTCTGCGTACCAGTTGGTAACTGGATATGAGCTTCACATTTCACATCTGTGTGTATTTGGTTCTGCATTATATGTGTCAATTAGGGTTGAACATCGGGCGGGTTGGGTCGGGTTTGCTATATTTTTTGGGCCTACCCAATTTATTCGGGTTGGCTATTTACCAACCCGCAATATAAGTTGGTAAACCATGCATGAACGGGTTGGGTAGGGTCGGTTATTGAAAGGAGCTTGTTTCAGGTTGAATCTTTAATATGGACAACTAATGCATGCAATATGAATCTCGGTTAACTTGTTTCCAAAATACACAAACAAATACAAGTACTTGTTATAAGAGTAAACTTAGGGCAATAGTATCAAAACATTCTTGCATAAAGGAAATTTATTTAGAAGCAAATGTATATATATAGAAATAATTACATAAATATGACCAAAATAAAGATGATTTACAAAAATATGACTAGTGACTAGAGTAGTAATGAAATCATAGTAATTCATATTTAAGTTTTGAGCTTAAGTTACCACAACACCACATTGTAGTAATGAATAGTCATAATTATGTAAATATGTTTTATTTTAGTAATATTCTTGTAAAAAAAACCATATATATATATGTATGTATAGATATATATATATGTATATATATATGTATGCATATATATATATATGTATATATATACACTAATCACCTAGTCAAAATGGTAAATGTTTGTAATGTTAAAATCATAGTGATAGGGTATTTAATTCTAGAGAGAAGTGAGAACTAGAGAGAGAGAATGAGTAATTATATTTCTCAACCCCCTATAATTAGCCCCTTGGGGTCTATTTATAGGTAAAAATGTGGATTTGGGCCCCTAGCATTGGGCTTAGGAGGCCCATTACAATAATCATGCCTTCTTTGGGCGAATAGGGCCATTAATGGCCCGAGTACAACACTTAGTAAATAAAATAGGAAAATACATTCTGTCTGGACGAAGTCCGGACGATGCGGTCCATGGACGTCGCGGCCATTTGGGCTGCGGCCTAAGGGACCCGGGTGATATCTTCTTCCTTAGACGTTGCGGGCCTCTGGCCGATGCGGGTGTCACATGGGTGTCCTGCTGGTGCCTTTTGGGCCGTTGAGTATGTGGTCCATGGGGTCCAGGCCCATATACTTTATCAGGAGTCCCCCACTCTCTGAGCTGAGATGCAGACGAAGCGAAAGGGAGTAGTCTCGTCTCTACTCTTCAGCCGTAGAGGTGTTCGTTTTGTCTTGATCCATTTCTTGACGTTGCGCGCCTTCAGGGGATCTTGGCCGTTGCGATATCTTTCTTTTCTGATGTGGTCGAGCTTTGTGCAGTGTTTTGTTCTTTGAGACGAAGCGTACCATTGTATGTTTGCGCACAGCTTTAGTATCTGACGCGCACCTCTACTGTGTCTTTGAGACGAAGCGTTGTTTTGTTTGTTTTAGGTCTGCAGAAGCGTGCTTTCTATGCTTTGAGGCCGTTGCGCTCCGTTTTATTTTTCCTTTTGTAGTCGATGCAGTCCCCCAGTGTTGGTGGACGTAGTGATACTGCTACTAAGTAAGCCATTGCGCGCTCCTTGATGCGATCCTTAGTGCTTCGATGATAAGCCGAAGCGCACCCTTTGTGTGTTGGGGACGTTGCGCTTCCTATTTGCTTTCTCTTTTCCTGTAGCCGATACAGTCCCCCAGTCCCCCACTCCTTTGGCCGAAGAGAAATCTGAGGCATAAGGGAGTTATGAGGTGCCCAAGCCAATACGGTACCTATGCGGTAGTCGTGACTCCAACCCTTAGGCGAACCTATCCAAGGTAACCATGTGGAAGAACCCTTGGACGAAGGCCGCAATGCCAGGGTCATCATCAAACGATGCGCGTATAAGCAGCCGTAGCGGTGTTTGTGGCTCTTTGGATCGTTGTGAGGTCGTGGAAAATTTAGACCGATGCGTTCCTTCACTTGGAAGTTTGGGCCGATGCCTGCTTTGGAGTTGGTAGTTATTGGGCCGAAGCGGAGGTTCCGGAGCCGTAGTGGCATGCGCTGATGCCTTGTTTCTTTCAATGTCGAGTTGGGCCGTAGGGGGTGCATCCAAGAGTGATTTTGAATAGGTGCCCCCTGATTGGCTGTGAGGCAGGTGGCCGTTGGTGTGGCCAATGTATGGGTGCCACGTGTAGTGACCATGGAGGGGGTGTTCTATAAGTACCCCCCAATTTCGAAGCCATTCTCCCATTTGCATTTGCTCGAGTCGAATTGCTGCTGAACTTTCTAGAGAGATAAAGTGCATCCCAGAACCTTCAAGCGTTCATCGCGTTCTTCAAATCTTCAAAGGTCAGATACTTTAATTTTATTTTGTTTTCTTCATATTTTGCTCCCTAGGGTGTTAGATCTAGTGTTTGTAGGAAAGTCACTTTGATTCGAAACACCACCCTTAGGGATAGACTTAGGTGCTATGTCGTTCCCTTACGGCCATAGTGTGCCCTCTCCTATTGATTTGACAGCCTCTTTGGACGAGTCGGATTGGCCTTTTGACGAGGACGACACCTCTCCTCAAGTGGATTTAAATATCGTGGCAGCCTTCGAGATTGAGATGGAGAACACTGCAGACTACCATACTTCTGTGGACAAGGAGCGTCTAGGTAACGATGCGGGCTCTCAACCCTCCGGTGAGGACGAGGCGAGTTCTGGTCCCAAGCTGCGTGGCGATGATGCGGGTGATGCCTCCTCGGCCGCTATTCCCTGTCCTCCCCCGCTTACCTCTGTTCCTGGTGCCGCCGCGTCTTCATCCGGGCCCAAGAAGCGCGGGTCGCGTCGTCGAAAGGGATTATCCGGCAGTCTCTCGCAGCTGGATTTGACTAATATCTATATCATAAGGCCGGAGGGCTCCTAAAGTGAATATCAGGTGGCACAGCTCTACGTTGGGCCTTATGGGAGGGTGAGGGTGCCGAGGCCGACGGACCATGTCCTGAACCCGCCAGTTGGTTACTTCGGAGTGTATCCGATGAGTTTCTCCCAGGGTTTAAGGTTCCCTCTTCATCCCTTCGTCGTGGAGTATTTGCATATGATAGACCTCCCACCAGCCTTATTAACTCCGAACAGTTATTCCCTCATTGTTGGGTTTCTCATCCGCTGTGATGAGCTTGGGATAGAGCCGACGACGGTGTTGTTTATGAATTTGTACCAGATCGGCCGGGGCAGCCACGAGAACTGTGCAGGATATGCGGCCCTCCAGCAGTTGCCGAAGAAGAGATCTTTTACCGACCTCCCATCGTCCATCCACGGGTGGAAAAACAAGTTCTGTTTTGTGAAGTTGGCCGATGGGGTATTTTTCCCTTCTCAAGGGCACAACGACATCTTTAATTTGCACAACCCGCCTAAGAGCGCTGAGATTGATGCCCAAGTGGAGGCGTTCCTGAAGGGTGGGCCGCGGAGCGTCACACCTATATCACAGAGTTCAAGATAGCTGCCCTCGGGATGATGCGGTACTATATACCCGGCGACCCTGATTGCAGATTATGGCTAAAGATGTCTGGCTATTTTGAGCAGGCCGGCGGGCCCTATTTCGGTGTCCCAACCGATGCCGAAGGTTGATTACTTTCCTTTGACTCCTATCATGATTTGCTTGTCTGTTTTTCTAACTCTTCTGTTTGTTTCGCATCTGCAGACTTCACCATGAGCCGCGAACTGTTTATGACCCAGGCCAAAAAATGGTAGACAAAGAAATGCAGGCTGCGCAGCAGGCTGAAGCGTCCAAAAGCTCGGCCGACGGCGTGAAGGACAAGGCCGAGGCGGCGAAAAAACTGTCGGTGAAGAGAAAGAAGAAGTCGGAGGAGGGCCAGCAGACTTTGGCCGAGGTGGGATTGAAGCCGGCGAAGCCGGCTAAGACCCAGCAAGCCTCCTCCACTGTTGGGGCCGATGCGCATGTTTCGGCCCGAGCTGATGAAGGCCCCGAGGTGCAAGTGATTGAGGACCTAACAC